GGCTCAACTGATCAGCAACGCGCATGAGAAGATCCCCGCCGATCAATTACCCTCTACCGTTCATCCCGGTGCTTCCACACGAGCTCCCTCAAAGATAAGATTCGCCCCTTTGCCGAATCCGAGACGCCAACGCTCCATGTCGACAGGAAGAAATATCGCTGTCAAGGCTACGATGGAGCCGGATGGCACTCGTACGCTACAAAGGCACGCTAGAAGGGACGATGACGGTGAAGGGTTTTTCCTTGATCAAGGTAACGGGTCAACGTCGAGGTATATCGATGAGGAAGCGGTCGATGATGAAGAGATAGATGTTGGCGAGGGTGATGGAGATAACTACGACGATGAAGAGGAAGGAGAGGGTCGAGGAAAGCGATCTTCTTGGAAAACGATGGGCATGGGCCATTGGAAGCCAGGCTCGTTCACGTCCGGATCATACACCAAGAAATTCCTCAAACCTCTTGTCGGTGGAGGCACAGAAGGTGATCTGGAACGCCTGACCAGTAGGGAGAGCGGACGACGCATTTCCGCCGACATCGCTATGCCTGCGAGTCAATCCCTTCGCAAGACGTTCTCCACGACAAGCGGATTCATCGGGTCCTCGCCTTTCCGTACTGCTGGTGAACACGAACGGAAACGTACATTCTTCCCGGGATCATCTATATCTTCCACCGCCGGTCAAACGTCAGCGAGTGGCGCCGCTTTAGGGCTCCTCGGTATCAGTGACAAGAAAGGGAAACAGAATCAAAAGGTATCAAACAACCCTGATTTTTCGTCCCTTTCGGCATCCCTAGGACGTCAGGCGGATACGAATTTCGCACCTCAAAGTTCCGAACTTGCGACCTCTCCGCGACCGGTCAAGATGCTCAATGGACGCGTGTACGGGAAGAATAGGCAGCCCGAGGCCGCTAATGCCAAACAGGCAGAACCAGAGTTCGTCGAGTGGGGTGGTATGATGGGTCAAAGAGGAGGCGGCATCGGTTCAGTTTCGAAAAGACCGTCATCAACTACCTCTACGCAAGACGCGCCTACGGCATCTTTCGGTAGTGTTGGCAGATCTAGTGCGAATGATGAGGAAGATGACGGCAGTGGGATAAGTTGGGTAAAGAAACGACGTGAACAACGGGAAAGGGAGCGCCGTGCCAGTGAGCTTACTCCGACCGAAGAGGTGACGAGCCCTGGTCTCTACAGGGGTTCTCTTCCAACCAGTAATGAACTGCACAAAAATTGGCAGCGAGGCAGTGGTATCCCCGCTGATACGGTGACGCATCTACCCGCCGTGAATGAAGACCGAGTCGCCACGCCTATCAATGCAGAGCATTTCGCTTTCACTGACTCCCTTACTCAACACCACCAGGAATCCAAGAATGTGGCAGAACCGTTTTGGCCAGACGAGACCATGTCACAGCTTGGGAGGCTACAAGCGCAGGATCAGCGGCACGAGCATGACGACCCCGGCCATATTGTACAGGCTGTACAGATTCCCGCCAGTCCCGCGCAATCCGTGCAGTGGCGGCACCCTTTCCTGACAGAGACCAATGGAAACGAGGGAGTGACGGATCCTGGTGATGCTCTACCGCAAGTAGGTGACGAGTATGAGCAAGAGGATGAAGAGGACGAGGACGAAGTCAATGGTGACTTTGAGAGCGATGACGAAGAGGAGTTGGCAGCCGAGGAGGTCAAAAAGAGGTGAGCTTGGCAAAGACACAGGTAACCCACGGGCGCTCCAAATCTTTGCTGAATCGCAATCCATTTTGCTCCAGGTCGACGAGTAGCGCAGCCGGTGTTGAGGTTATCAGTCGGCACCGCAACTAACCGGGTTGGCATACCATCAACTTCTTGCCTCGATACTTAATTCGCTATCCCGTCATTCCAGTACTACGCTTTCTTGCTATCCTCCCGCTTTCTGGGAGATCTGTACAATGCATACCTGTAATCCGAAGCCAACCACGATCCGACCCTGATGTACCTTACATGCATACCCCTTGCGAATTCGTTACCCTCCGCCAGAAGCATGTCAAATTGAGATTATAAATATTCCCACTCGGTCAAAGTTGTATTTCTGAAAAGTTTCCTCTAGTTGCAATGCAATGCATACAACCTCTACACCCAAGCAGGATCGTACGAATTCTCAAGAGAGAAAGTGAAGACGCTACAAGGAATATTGCCGTTCTCTCGAGGAATCGCTATGTAACACTAAAAGGCTCATGGCTGACCCGCTTGCTCAATTCACTCTTATGGGACTAAGCATGCAACCAGCTCCGAGAGAAAACGAGGATGTCGTCGTTGTGAGATGAGGTATTAGTAGCGGCTGTAAAGCCCAGCTGTAGCTCCTTAGCTACTTATGATTGAGGCGGCGGCCGATTTGTATCCGACGCGATTCTGTGATGGATGACCTTGGCTCGCATCCTCTCGCCTTCCCTTGTTCCGGAGACCCAGATAGGGCAAATACACATCAAAGGACTCGATATCAGCAGTCTTGAGAAGTAAATTATCTTGGGCCGGACTTGACATCACGATGTCTCTGCCTCAGAAGCATCCTCGCTCCCCATCGCCTCCAGTTTCAGGGTCTCCTGCGAAACGTCTGAAGCTTTCCGATGATTCCCCGGAGATGGATAATCATGTCCCGACATCGGTAACCCCTGTAGCTCCTGCAGTAGAGAATGTTCCTGGCGTGAACGAGCTTGGAAAGAACTTTCCGAATGGTGGTGGAGTGGTCAACATCGACAACACTGCCTCAAACGGACATCCCGAGGTCAATGGAGACGTTCAGCAAACGGCAGAAGAGCAACAGGACCCCAGTGACGATGAGGACGTGGACGAACAGCCAGAAGCGGTTGTGACGGAAGAGATTGGCAGCAAAGATATGTATTTGGATGCTGTAAGTGGGATTCTGGACTATGATACACTCCCTTTCTCTGAAAATATATCCTTGTTGTAGATTTCACGGCCGAATCTCGACTTTGATTTTGAGCGTGTCTGCTCAAAATCGCTAGCCAACATCAACGTCTATTGTTGTCTAGTCTGCGGCAAATATTTCCAGGGCAGAGGCAGGGGCAGCTATGCATATCGACATGCAGTAGGAGACAATCATCGAGTGTGGCTGAATTTGGAGACAGAAAAGGTAGGTTTGCGTTTGCCCCATTGCACACCTTGATCTATATCAGTGAATTGCTCACTATGTCAAACGGCTACAGTTCTACGTACTCCCGGAAGGTTACCTAGTATCGGATCCCTCTCTACAGGACATTATTCATGTCCTGAACCCAAAGTTCGAACCGTCCACTTTGCCCAAGCTATCATTATTGCCTTCTCAACCTTCATATACTCTGACCGATCAGCCTTACTACCCAGGATTTATCGGTCTCAACAATATCCGCGCCAACGACTACTTGAACGTCATTATCCACCTCGTCTTGCATGTCCCACCTCTTCGAAATTTCTTGTTAGATCCCCGGACTCCGCAACTGCAGGAAAGTGCGCGCCCTACTGAATTGGTAAAACGGCTCAGCACTCTCGCCAAACGGGTATGGAACCCTCGGCTGTTCAAGGCGCAGGCGAGTCCGCACGAGTTCTTGCAGGAAGTGTCTAAGCGAAGTGAGGGCAAGTACACGATGACCAAGCAGGGTGATCCAGTCGCCTTACTGGGTTGGCTCTTGAATACGCTGCACAAGGACCTTGGTGGAACCAAAAAGAGCAATTCTAGTGAGTTTTCGGAGGCTGATTGTCACGCTGTAGCGCTAATTATGAGTACGGGTTTTCAAGGCATCATATATAGGGCTTTCCAAGGAGAGGTCAAAATTCAAACACAAGAAGTCATCGTGAACAAATCTGCAGCTAGACCAGTGTTCGATATTAGTAGAGGCAAGCATGTCATACATTTCCCGGATTGACGCCTGGTTTCTGACATATTTCCCTACCTTAGATATCAAGACAATAAAATCACCATTCTTGTTCCTTGCACTAGACCTGCCAGCCGCTCCTCTATTCCAGGATCTCAATGAGAAGAAGATTATCCCTCAAGTGCCTTTAAGCACGATTCTTGCAAAGTTCGATGGACAAAGCACTCAGGAAATAGGGCCCACACTCAAGCGACATCATCTCACTCGGTTACCGCCCTACCTCATCCTGCACATTAAGCGGTTCACCAAGAACAACTTTGTGGAAGAGAAGAACCCCACAATCGTGAACTACCCTATGGCCATTGATTTGAAAGATTGTAAGTGTAGTTGGTAAGCCGCGGGGAACTGTAAAGCTGAATGGAGCCTTATTCAGATGTGGATCCGAAACCGTCGTCGCCGCTGCAGACTATGTACAATCTCCTCGCCAATGTACCACATGAATCGACCATTGCGTCGACAAGTAGTGCAGGAATAGGCCCGGGTATGTCACAGAAGAAGAAGGACAAGGTAGAAGATGACACCACTTGGAAGGTATGTGTAGTCGCTAAGGGTCCTGTGATATAGAGACTTATTCCGATCCATTTCATAGATCCATCTTCGAGCAGGTTCTGGAGGGGGAGAAGCCGAAAAATGGTTTGCGCTACAAGACCTGGAAGTGCGTGAGGTTCGAGCGGACATGGTGTTCTTGGGAGATACAGTGATTCAGGTAAGATGAATATTTTCCGTCTCTCTCTTGGAGATGCAGGTCGCTAAATATAGGCTTCTGCATTCCCGGCGCTCTTAGGTGTGGGAAAGACGGGATATGTTACCCAAAACGGCTTAGCGTCAGCGGTATATCATTAGAGATTTGAGATGTATCCATAATAAATAGCATAGATTCACCTTGCACAGGTTGGTATCAGCCATGATCAGGCTTTTGACGCAAATATTCTGGAGAAAAGGCGCTGCGGCAATACTGATCCTGGGCTTGACGGTTGTCGATCATCTAGAGGTGAAGTTATAGGCCGGTTTGGAGGCGGTTCGATTTCTGGAAACGACAAGCCAGCCGGCTGCCCCAGATCTCTTGGGTCAATATCACTTTTGAAGCTGCTGAGTATCAATGGCCAGATAGGAAAGTGGTCTAATCCGGTGGTTTCAAGTTGCACTAGCTTGCTCAGCTTCTTCTGAGTCCTCCACTCCTTCGGGGCCTGGGTTCGAGTCCCAGTCTGGTCAATCTTTTTGCCCTTTTGGGGGGGGGGGGTTTCATCCTTGCCTACCTGCAACCAATTCTGGGCTTGCCGCTCAGCCACCCATATGACCCGTTCTGAACTCCTGATCCGGGATGGTTATAGCAGTGACCGTCGTCTGAAGCTCTTCTTTTTTGCTTTTACCCAAAGCGAAAGCTCAAACAATCAATAGATGCGGCGGGACAGAAACCTTTGTCAGGTGAATAGCGGTCCGTCGCAGAGGAAAGTCAAGATGGCAATTTGGTATTGTTATACGACAAGAGAACCTCCAGAAGTCTTGCATCTCCCGTCACGTTAGTTGAAACCGATGTGTAAGGATTCCTACCCTGCTAGAATCTCACAAGACTGGGCTTTGGCTAATATCATACCTGCAAGGCTTCTATCCAAATCCAAAGTTTCACATCCGGAGAACAAGGTCCTTCACTTTGCTGGAACCGCTATGGCTCGATCTTGGCCCAGTGAATGGTGAAGGCGCATGAGAGGGAAACCTTTAGGCTATGAGGTACGACTATCCCTAGCTCTGTATAATCCGCAAGCTCCAGAAATTTGACATAAACTGACGTTTCTCCGTTGTTGATTATCCTAGTATTCGAAGCCCTTAGGCTGTCTCATAACAATGCGAAGAACCACAGGGAATTGATCCATTACAGTCCTGCCATGGCGCTTGATGCTTGTTATTGCGTCAAGCCTCATAGCAGTCAAGGAAAAAAAGGGGTCGAGAATATGCCATTTGAAGAATTCTTCCATCTACAGGGGCGAAAGACGCCACGAGGTCCCACAGTGCGAGCATCTATAATGCACGCCAAAAAGCCCAAACAAGATAGTCAAGATATAATGTCCATACAACTAATGCCATGCGATCTATGCCAGCGAAATCAACGAATATGCCAGACGACGTCAAGGATTTGCACCAAGATAGTATCGTCAGAGTCTATGTCCGGGCACTGCCCACCAGATGACCGCCATGATAGCAGTGAGGACTACTACCTCTGCCATCACCAGTGCCGCTCTACCACGAAGAATCTTTTGCACATATGGCTCGCCCATCTTTATGGTTTGAAATGGGCGCGTTTCCGACTTGTTTAAAAGAACAAGGAGAGGGTCGAGAGCGTAGCAAGCCGAGATGAGGAAGTAGAATGCGAAAAAGAACGGGATGATGAGCTGTCACCAGGTGAGTATCAGTATCGCCGTACGGGAAGTTCACAAGACATTTATTTCCAAGCACGTACGTATAACCTTCTGATCTTTGGCTTGTAGTCGTAAAACACCAACGTGAATGCAACCACAAAACTCGCCCATAAGCAGAAGAGTCCGAAGAAAAGCCTGATAAATGTCCCGAGTCTGGTCAAGTTGCAGAACGCTTTTGCGCGAATGAAGCGCACGAATGCATCGTCTTGAAGTGCTTTAAAGATGTATTCCTTGGCCACGTGAAAGTAGTCGGGAATTTGGGGATCGGCGGAATCTAAAAGTTCTTCATCGAGCTCTGGCGACGAGGGAAAGTCGTGAATCCTGATGGAGGGGCTGGTAGATGCGCAAGGGTAAGACCCGTTGAACAAACTCGCAATATGGGTATCGATAAGAATTGCGTAAACTCACGGCAAGTAAATTTCCTTCTCTGCACCTGGCAAGAGATATCTCAAGTAAATCCGCTCCCCGCTAGTAACAAGATCCTGCTGCGTGATCGCTTGTTTCCTTGAGATCACTGTCGGAGCACGACTGACTCGTCGTGTCCCCGGTCCGCCATGCTGATTGCCATTCATTTTGTGAGAAGGATGCCGGCTGCTGGTCGTGCCGAAGAAGGAGTCTACGAAGCTCGCCCTCGAGGGCCCGCGTGCTTCATGCGTGCCTTTCCCGATCGAATTCGCCGTGGCTCTAGATGAAGCATTGTTCATTACAGCAAATTGACCGTCCGACAGCTGAGGAGAATTATCAGCTGATGATTGATGCTGTTGGTTATTTCCAGAATTGACGTTTGTCGGAGTGCGCGGTCCATACGCCTCTGTATCCCTCCTTGCACGAAAGCTCGGCGAATGGGCTGCATCATAGTCATCAGATACGTCTTCAGAGTGCTGTCCCGCTCCAAAATGCTTCTCCTCAGAACCTCCTTTCTCTCTTGGATATCGATGTGATTGCTCCTGCTGTTCAAAGGCCGAGCTCTCATTGACGCCGGCGATAGCGGAGAATATGCTTCCATACCGACGAGCGTAGTCGCGGAACTCGGGCCAATCTTCCGCTACAGTCCGGTCTGTTCTTTTGAGATCCTGTCACATCAAGCAAAGTGCATTCAAGCACAAGGACGCCAAAGGGAACATGCGGTGAGCTCACCTTGAAGTACGCCCTGCACAGATTCTCGTGCTGCTGCACATCTAGCCAGAAATCCAAAGCGTCTTCTGCGTTTTCTTGTTGCAGAAAGATGTAGAAGCAATAGAGGTCGAGCGGTGCACGGGTCCGGCGCATCAACACATCTGATAGCTCGGGCAGCCGTGAGCGCACGGTTCGCCGAGAAGAGGATAGGTGGACCATATCTGGTGACTGATGACCTCTAATGTGGCTCCGTGGTACTGCCGAACGTAGAAGAGTGGTTTGTTTACAGCACTCATCAATTCACAACTTGCTAAAGTGGATTCATCATGTTTCAGCTCTCCTGTCGAGCGGACATGGCGCGTTTGTGTTCCGCAAACCGGCCTGATTTTTCCCAGCAGCGTGCGATCGGCCGCAGCGTCGTCTCGTCGCATCCATTTCAACCAGTCTTCACAGATCCTGGTTGACCTTTCCAGGCTGGATGTGCACTGGGTATCCGTTCAGCCTACCATGTCCCGTATATTCAAACGAGCGATCGCCTCAGTCTCTGAAGCAGCCGCAGCTTCGGCGCCAAAGTCTACTCGTCCGCCAAGCTCGTCTACCTCTCCACTCGCAAACTCGCGAATATCAACCCAACCCCGAGCAGTACGAGAACGACAAGCCACGTATCTTGCTACAACGGACAAGATTCCATCCGCAGATGGCCTGTCAGCCTTTACTCCATCCCAGGAAATTCGATTTCAGACGTTACGAGCAGAAGGAAAGCTCTCGGGGAATGAAGTCTCAGCGAGGGAACAGTTTCTCAAGGACCACGATGCATGGAGATCGCGAATTCGTGGACACAGACAGGTCCTGAACCTACCTCAAGAGGACCAATCCGCCACAGGTTCACCCGAAACGCTGTCCTCTCCTGCCCGTATCAGTCAGTTCAGGGATGCTACCGCCGTACCATCTGTCGAAGCGCTTGCAGCTCAGCGAATCTACTTGCCCAATATCCAAATCCGTCTTATGCGTAACCACACTCCTCCAGGAGAGCCATACGACACATCGATCGCCACCTTCCGTATCCCCCCGAGTATGACAAAGAATGACTTGCGGTCATACTTGTTTGCTGTTTACGGATTACCCGTCACCTTTATTCGCACGGACAACTATATCGCGCCACAGGCCAGAGTAGGAACCCAAGGCAGCATGAAGAGGATTAAGGGAAGCGAAAAAAATTACAAACGTGCAGTTGTTGGATTACTTGCACCTTTCCATTACCCGGACGACGTAGCAGAACTCGATGCGCTTATCGACTCAACCGCCACGGATGCTGAAGCCGAGCTAAGGCGGTCCCGAGCCATCGAGGGAAAGAAGAAGAGGGAGGAATGGTTGAATGCACAGTTCATGTCTGATTTGCAAGTCAGCCAGAAGAAGAGGAGCATGATGAAGCTCGCCAAGGGCTGGAGGTGGAGAGGACAGACTCATGACAACAATGTAAGATTGCATATGAAAACTTCCTCCTTGAGCTCTTACTTATCTGCTTATGGTTGGTTTACAGGGAAATATCGTACGAGAAATCATGAAGCGACGTCAAGAACGGGAGAACGAGATTGCGAATATCGCCAACGGCTTTGTCAGCGCATAAGATATGCCCGATTACCCCTTTCGACAGAGTCAAGAGAAGGCGTTGTATGATACTTGTCCCGTCATATTTCAATGAAGGTAAACTTGAACGAATGCCGCCTCGCTTACTAGGAGGCGGCGCTTGCTACACGATCACCTGCAGTAATGGTGGACGATTCGTACTCAGGTCGTTAGGGCACAGCGATCAGATTTACAACAATGCGCGACGTTGATTTGGCAAATTAGCTGATTATGATGATGTCGTTTCAATGACCTTGTGCTCTGCAAATTGTGTACGGCGGTGCTTCCATTCCGGCAACATGTTATACTCGTTAGGCCGCCAAAAGTCTCTCTAAGAATCACTCAACTCCCCTGCCACTTTTCTGCCACTCTGTGAGTGGCGTGTTATTGCAGGCAGCGGTGATTTTGAATACGCTGGATAAGTAATCCCGATGCGATAATACCCTGTACAACCCAAGGACCCGAATAAAGATGCTGGTAAAGTGCGATACAATGGACAGGCTGATGATATGATACATGTTGGGACATGCCGTAGTGATTCTGCTTCAGGCGAGGATGTATGCTATGTCGGCCGAGGTGCGGCTGGATTCGTTTTCGGATCGACAACATCCCCTAGTCCCAGGTTTCCAAAGTCATCACGCTCCATCAGGTGACTGTGGATACGTACGATGCGTTATTGTCAGCTTGATGACACGACAAGGTGAGGGAGTCATGACTGTTTGACATACTTGTCCATCCTGCACTCCAGATACCGCTTCGACAATAACCTGCATTTTCCATTATCGTTGGCATTCATCTTCAAACATCCCAGATACTCCAACATGAAGGCTTTGCAATCACCTGTACCACCGTGCGGGGAAGCGTCAGGTCTTGTTGAAATCACTCATAAAAGGCGAAGCGGAACACTACGAACCCTCATGATCCAGAGGAAACGACCCTCGCTGAGGGGGATTGATCTTGAAGTTGTCGCCGATGCTGGGAGGTCGTCCGAATGACATGGTGAGAATATAAGCTCGTATTGGGCAGATGAGACAGGTTTCACGGTATGGTTGGCGA